CGATTATTAAATGTCGGCATTGAGAACAGGTTGAAGCTATGCACTTCTAGACGCAACCCAAAGGTTTTACCTCCGACACACACACAGACAGACAGATGGCTTTCCAGTATTGCCCCCACACACAACGAGTAACACTTCGTTTTCATTACTTTGCCTCCTGAATTTGCATCCCAATTTCGCTATCGGCGGTCATGTCACGAGACCAAGTACCCCGCACTCGAATTTCTCGCAGAGCAGCGCGACCCACGACCCCCCCCCCCCAACCCCTTCGCATCGAGAAAACAGTCCGAGGAAGCGGATATCACACAACTACTTCTGATATCCCTAACAAAGTGTGTGGGGGGGGGCGGGGGGGGGGGGGGGCGGTGGGGACAGCTCCGACGCCGAAGAGCAATGTTCGTCACGTGACAGTCAGACCGACGGATTTTACTTTCCCAAAGAGCCGGAGAGACTCGGCTGAATTTACAACGTGGAGCCGAATTTCACGGCACGGGGTTTTGCCGCGCCGTCGTTTGGTCGAGGCCGTCATAGCTCGCCGCACTCGGGCCGAACCCGGTTTCATCCCTGGCGACGACGACGACGACGACGACGACGTGCCACCCGGGCCACCTGAGCGCGAAGCTTTATTCATGAGGCGGGGAAACAAAACAAAAAAAAAGATGATTCATTAAAAGTCTCGGGTCACGTGGTTTCCAGGAACACCGCACGCTGGCGCCCTCTCGTGGCGTCACTGCGCACGAGTCGCCGCATTCCGAATCGACTCCCGATGCAATGCGATGTTGTCGCGTGCAGTGCCATAGAGACGGCGATGCCAGGATGAGGGGGGGGGGAACGGGGGTTGAGGGGGGGGGCAGGTGGTCACGCGCATCAAACGGATTGCGATTGGATGGGGGACTACGGTGCGGATTTAAAAAAAAAAAACATTCAAACAGAGCGGCACATTTGACCGGCGCACGGTAAATAAAAAAAACACACACAAACGATGATTTAACGACAAAGTAAAACTAAAATAGCTAAAATACTTTTTCTTTGGGTTGCGTCTGTGAATAAAATATTAATTACAAACTAACGGGGAGAGGGCGGGGGGGGAATAGCAGGGGGTTTGTTTAAATCGCCGAAGTAAATCAACTCGTAATCACAGTTACTCGTTCACATCCTCGTTGGCGGGCCAACTCGGATCGCCATGAATCACCTCTTTTGCGATTTGCTAAACCCCGAGCAGTATCACTTTGGGACGATATTCGACATGCCCCTTTTGTAGGGGATCGGCGCCTGCCACAGCAATGTGGAATTTCCCACCACTGGTGTCAAAAGGCTGCAAAATAAGAAACGATCACAGACCTCCCGCGAACACCCCCCCCTCCCCTCCCCTCAACGACAGCTTGGGAAGAGAAAGGGAGGAAAAAAATAATACTTGGTGTGGATATTTATCTAGCGGCAGGAAGGCAGATCCATGGCCAAATGGCGGTAGAAAACCTGGCCAAAAAACATCGGTGGCCACAGAGGACTCCTCTGTGACTCGACGCGGCTCTGCTAAGGCAATGGGAGGATGCAGTGTGGAGCGAGATTCGTGGCCAGTGGATGTGACTAAAAGAGCAGAGGAGAGCAGCGGACCCTCCCCACAACCCCCCCCTCACCCCCCCCACGCCATGTTAAATGGAACTTCTGGCTTCAGAAGAGTGATTTAAGAACACTGATTTGACACGACTTCAGAACCGAGAAGGGGACTTGGGGGGAGGAGGGGGGGGGTGGGGAGGAGGGGGAAGACAATTTGGGGGCGATCAGAATTAAGTCACGTTTCATTTCGGCGATTCCACAGACACCTCACACCGTGGGACAGGAAGGGGGAAAATAATCGGAAGAAAATACGAAAATTGCACTTCTACGCAGTGTCAACATCGCACAAACGATCCCCCCCTGTACGTCCCCCCCCCCCACACCCCTCACGCCCAAGCGAAGCTCTGCTCATCTTCACAACAACGAAAGATTCAGTGTATATGTCACCCTAAGCGTTGGTCTCGTTCGTCCCGAAGGTGAAATGCGCGCAATGCTGAGGTTCTGGAAAAAGTTCAAGCATCGTTTTTTGCCCAACACCCCCCCCACCCACCCCACCCCACCCACAACACCCAAACGACCGTTTCCGTGAATCTCTTGGTTTTTCGATTTTATCGTTTTTGTTTAGTCCATCTCACTTGCGAAGGGGTGCAGCCGCCGCAGCCATCGGCGTCATGAGTAAGCCCACGCTTTTTTTTTTCCCTTGCATAGGAGTGTCAAAATCACACGTCCGAAAAATTGCGTACAAAAAAAAATAAAAGTGCATTTCCACCTTTTAGGACGTTTCTTTAGCTCTCGAAGTTTCGTCTTTTTTTTTTGCGCCGGGGGGGGAAAAAAATAATAAACGGTCAAACCCAACTTAAAGTAAAACGTTCGTTTAAATTCAATCGTTGGGTCCCACACGCGTTTTTTTGTTGTAAATTGTCACTTATTATCGCAACCAGTGTTGAAACTAGAGTAAGAAAAAACATTGCTTTGGACAGTATGGAAAAAGTTCGCTATATTTCTCAAAAGCCGGTGTCGTTTCTCTCCTTGAAAGATTCCTGCAAATTGGTTGGCGTCAAAAAAAAAAACTCCTTTGAAAACCCACAGCCACACACAGCGTCAATACACCACCGCCGCCGCCGCCACCCCCCAAAAACCGCCACAGTGAAGGATTTCTCAGGCAAATAATTTTTTTTGTTTAACCAACTATTTCCCTGCGGCGCAAGGAAAGCTTTCTTTTTGGAATTCGGAGACACATCCCGAAGGTTAAACCACCCGCACCGCTTTCCGTTCGTCACCACCCCCCCCACCGCCCGCCCCCGCCGCTCCTCTCCCTCGCCACCCCACCGCTCGCGTTCAACCCCCCCCGAAAAATAATTTCACATGGGAAGATTCACAGCATCAAAACGCAACAACAACAACACACCCCCCCCCCCCTCACCCCCTAAAACAAACCCGTCGAAAATATGTTCACGCCACTTAAAACGTTACAGAGTTCGTTGAAGGCACATTACTGGACTTGCTATCCCAAAAAAATCTTCCAGCCGACGTCCGTCATCTTCCTCTCCCCTCCTCCTCCTACCGAACCCACCGGGAGATGTTTCTTGAACGAGCCACGTCCCCCCCCCGCGCCCGTGCGGTTTTTGGCCGCCGACGGAAATTCGGAGGGGGGGGGCTTTCCCCACCTTCCCCCCCACCCTTGCAATCGCCACGGCCACCCTCCCCAGCACTGGGGGTTGCATATTCAAGTCCTCGGCGGTTGAAAAGTGTCGAATAACTCCGCTTCTCTCTCGGGGGGGGGGGGGGGGGGGGTGAGGGGAAGAGCAAAACAGGTCCGATCGTTTTTGTGTCGTGTGTTTTTTTACATGCTTACTTTTTTGTTTTTACTTTACTCCAACCGGATCGCACGTTTTCCCTTTCTCGACAGCCGGGAAGAAACTTGGTCGCGTCGGTCGAGAACGTGCCGGGGGGGGGGGGGGTCCCCACGGCGATTCGGCATGCAGGCAAACAGGCGGCGGCGGCGTCGTCGTTGTTGTAACAGTTTCTTGAGCAGCTCAAAACCGTTCCTCCTCGCCAAACAACGGCCCGGTGGTTTTCAACGCCAGATTTGAATGCGTCGAGATCTGATCGACAAAAGCAGACCCCCGGGGAACGTCTGCTGGTGAACATCTCGTCGGCGTCGTCTGCCGACGAGTTCTCATCGGAGCGTGCAGCGTTCGGGCATGACCCCCCACCCATCGTCGCAGGAAGCAACCCAGCGTGCAAGGGGTCACACAGACACAGCACCAGGGTCAAAGTCTCCCCCCACCCCCACCCCCCCCGACACCCCGTTTCCATGCGTGGTGGCGTTCCGTCTCCGCTGGTGGATCCCAAGGCAGCGGTGGAAATTCCCGCATTCCCATGGCGGTGAAGGGAGAATGCCGGATCATCGCTTGTGTTGACTTCCCCACAAAGTGGTACCACTCGTTTTAGCAGCGACAGCGGTGGAAATTCCACATTACCGTGGTGGGGGGGGGGGGGGTGGGGGACGGGACCAGTCTCTGCATGGAGGACGATCGCTCGCGATGACTTCCCACAAAGTGGGATCAAACTCAATTTTGGCGGGCGACAGCGGTAAAAATGTAACATCTGCGTGGTTGGGGGGGGGGGCGGGTTTCTCTCCCCCCCCCCGCGTAGCGCGATCGCTCTCGATTTCCCGCAAAAAAGTGGGAACCGGCTCAATCGAAGCGGCGACGAACGGCAGAAACTCCACATCTACCGTGGCGGGAGACAGCCACCCTACGGGGACAACCGTTCAACCATCGACCGAGTCGACCAGTGGTCGGGTGGGGGGGGGGGGGGGGGGAAATCGGAGCTCACGACGAGTCCGGTGCTTCCCCCAAAGCGCGGGGGGGGGGGGCCAGGGTAGTCGCCGCCACCCGCCCCCCCCCCCCCACCCCGATTCGCCATCGACACTAGCTAGGGACGGCTCCGCTAGTTGGTACGGATCAGTGCGATGGGGGCCCCACCCCCTCCCCCTCCCCCTTACAAACGCCGCGCGCCCCAAACTCTGCGCGCTGCGTCGCACGGCACCAACGCGTTAACACAGACGTGCCCCTGTTCATATACCCATGACGTAACACGCAACCGCACCCCACACTACCGGCCACTAGAAGAATCGCCACGATTCAAGGTGGCTTGAGCCACTTTTGTTCGCGTCGTCAGCCGAAATGTAAACGGCAGCGTTTAATTTGCATATGAAAAGGGTAAAGCTGCAGCCCTGCAAATTGCCCGCTCATGCCACTGCAGGCCCTCACTCTCCGCGGCAGCCTCACTCCAGACGTCTTGCGGGGAAGGAGGTGGGAGTGCCCACATTTAAACCCCACACGATCCGTGTCCAGAATCAGCTGTAAATAAACTTGCGCCGTCAACCGACGCCATTATCCTGAGCATTACAAACTAAACCTTATAACCGGTGTATCTTTTTTTACGCATTCCTAAAATTTCTTACTTCCCCCCCCCCCGTATATTTTGTAACCGCCTAGCAGAATTGTTTCGCTACTCGGCAAATGAGACACCGTCCCGTGCGCACAATTCAGCATCGGCTGCCGTGGGTCGACCGCGAGCGGCCAGCAACGCGGGGTCCCCCCCAATTTTGCAGAAACGTTGCTGCTAATTTGCTCTGCTGGGATTCCGCCACTCCCCCCCCCCCAAACCCCCCCACAACTACTAATCCACAGCACAGTGCTGACCCCAGGGTAGACGCGGCGGCACCTCCTTCCCTCGCCATCGCTGCCCCCGGTGCCTCCAACGTCGTCACGTGCGACGACATTGTTAAATATCATTTCGCATTATTACATATAATCTTCGCAAACCACCCCACCCGCCCCCCCCCCCCCCCCCCAAGGCACCACACATTGTAAAGTGCAACGTCCACGTGCGTGCGTGTAAACTTTTACACTGACCAGCAGCCTTGAGGCCTCGAGGCAGGGCACCCCGCACGCACGAGCTGCGGTTTGCGCGGCGAAGAATTGAGATTGCGCGTCCGCGATCGTTAACGGCCGAATCCCCGGGGGAGGCGACGCACAAACGTGGTCGCGCGGGCGACGGAAGACGTCGCCGCTGCTAATCTGCCGGGCAGTTCCGACGCGCCGCGGTCTATGGCGGCGGCAACTGGACGCGCAACTCCTCGCAAACGCCGGTTGCCGGCACACGTCCGCCCGCAAGCGAATTCCGTTGCACGCAAAGCACCACGTTGCACAGCCGAGCGCTCGGTAAGTGACCCCGGGCTTCCGCTCGTCAATTAATAGTACCCGACCGCCACTTCACAGCAGGTCTGCAAGTGACCGTTAAAGAAGGAAATAATTATTCACTCCCCCCACCCCCCCCACCCCCCCACCCACGCAGCCCACTTGCCATAGGAATGTGGAATCGCCACCGCTGGCTCAAGGCTGTAAGAGATACAGCGACACGCACACTACCATGCCTTGACGAACCGTCAAGAATTTGGATTGACTGACCGTCAAGTTTTCACGTGTGGTTCAACCTTCGCATTTCCAGCTACGGCGTTTCAACGTCTCCGCGTTGAAGACGGAGAAGCTAGCCGTCGTCACCATCGTCGTCCCCCCGTGCCGTCGCTTGCGTGCATACTAAGCTGCCGTAGACTTTTATAACCCTCCTTGCAGTCAATGTCAGAGTTGTTGGCGAAGTCTCGCGTAAAAATGTTGACTTCGAAATTATTGCCATCGTCATCATCATTTGCCACCATTTTGTCTTCACAACTGCATCGTAATCTTCAACTGCATCTTCATGGTCGTCATCGTCGTCGTATTCAACTGCATCAGCGTCAAACACAAATGGCACGTGTTTGTTTCGAGCTCCAGCCAGATTCACCATCTGGACCACCAGGCATGTCTCATCTTCATCCTCACTACCACCACCGCCTTCAGTATCAATCAACCATCCTCTGCATCAATTAAGAAATGTTGCCGCTTTCATTCGGCATAGTGATGACCATTATTAATAGCATCATCATTATCATCAGGATATCCTCACCACTCGCATCAACCTGCCCCACACCTCCATCATTCTTAAACACAACCAACTTCACATTACGATCACCATGACTGCGATTACAATTAACCCAATTATAATCAGCAATATCAGCACCACCACTATGAACACCCTCACCACCACTCCCATCACAAACGCCTTCAACACGACAACTACAAAAAACCACCACCACTACTATTTTCACAGCCATCGCACCAATATAACCACCGCAACCAATCACTCAATATGATCAACCCAACACCACCACTCCCACCTCCCAAGTGCACATTCATTGCACAATCACTGCCGTCATTACCATCACCACCAACACCATCGCAGCCGCCAACACTATACCATCCTCAAGTGCAAGATCTTTACCACTGCCACCACACTCATTACCAACACCACCACCACAATCACAAAAACCACCGTCGTCATCCTATCTTCACCAACACCATCACCACAACCACATTCACCACCAACACCATCACCGCAACCACATTCACCACCACCAGCCACCTTCTTTCATCACAGGCCGTCGGTGCCCAGCAGGTCACCGGGCAGGAAGGCGTTGAGCGACGCCGAGACCCCGTTGGAGGAGAGGCCACCGCCGACGCCCCCCCTCGATGCGTCCCTCTGGGGGGGGGCCCCCCCGCCCCACAGCGACATCGAGCCGCCCGGACCGGACCCCCAGAGGCCGGCGTCGCTGCTCCAGCCGCCCCCGCCACCCCCGCGCGGGCTGGGCCCCCAAGACGACGAAGAAGACGACGACGATGACGACGGCAAAGCAGTCGACGGCGGCGGCGGCGGCTGGGAGGTGATGACGCCAGGCTGGGCTAAGAATTGGCTGATCTCATCGTCGTCGGCAAACCCTGCGATGATGGTGGTGTTGCTGAGGATGCACCTGGAAGGAGGCGATGTGCGGGGGGTGGTGTACAACAGTGAATGAATGGAGATGTTAGTGCCGATCCTACTGATGCTGCTGCTAATGTTGGTACTCATGCTAATGGTGCCGATTCTGCTGCTGCTAATGGTGCTGATGCTTATACTGATACTGCTGCTAATGGGGCTGATGATGCTTCTACTGATACTGCTGCTAATGGGGCTGATGAGATTGAGGCTGCTGCCAATGGTGCTGATGATGCTTCTAATGATACTGCTGCTAATGGTGCTGATGCTTACACTGATAATGCCAATAGTGCTGATGATGTTGATGCAACATACATACATCACACAGGACGTATATACGAGCACAGTGAAAGCCTAACACGATTCTAATACCGCACCTCAGATGAGCGCAGTTTGGCTACGCACGGTGCCTTAAGAAGTTCAACAGTCTGTTCTCCCAAAAGGCGTGTCTTTCAGAACGCGACTTGGATATAACACCGATGAATGTATCAGAGAACACTTTTTTTTTTAAAATATAATTATAACGCGGATGCGAATTGGATATAATGGGATCGAGTGTAGCATCGCCATCACACAAGGCAGTGGGGATGCTGCTGGATGCTTCTAGATGCTGCCCACAAGCCTCAGTCTTCGTTCCGCCTGCGTACGCATCTCACGTGTTATCGTAGACTGGGTTTTAACCCCTCAATATTATGAGGCGATTTTTCCACAACGTGGCGTTCTACAGGAACGCAACTACCACCGCCGTTACAGGAGAACAGACACCGTACACAGGTAGGTGCTGGTGGTGCGGCTGGGAGGAGGCCGACTCACATGTGCAGCGCCTTCTGCGCCCGCTGAGCCTCCAGCTCCGAGCCGTAGCACACGAGGGCGTTGCTGTGTCCCAGGCTCAGGTGGAAGGTGACGAGAGGGCCGTGCTGCATGCACAGCGTGCGTAGGGTGGCACCGTCCACCTACACAGTGTAAGCGCACACACGCACACACACACACAAAGACAAAGGTCCCCCCGAGTAGCCTCGACAGACTGTTGGGGGCAAGGGCAGATGGTGCTGCTCACCTACGCGCAAGCATGGCGACACACGCGCACAAATGCAAAGATCCTCCGCCACGCAGCCTCAACAGACCGCTGGGGAAAGTGCTGTTAGGGGAGCAGTCGCGCCTATGAAGCCCGGCATGGTACACGAGAGGGGGGCATGGGTGATCGGCACCACGCCAGCCGCCTTCGTCTTCCCAGTGGAAGATGATTTCTACACCCCACGCCAGGTACTCATTCGAGAGGCTGGGCCTCCTAAGGGAGGGCCCAGGATTCGGTTCAGATAATTGTCACCGGTGTCGGCCGTGAGTGGGAATCGAACTCGGGTCGTGGCTCAGTGCGCTAACCAGCTCCACGACCGCTGCCCACGGCACTATACATACATCCACACACACAAGGGCACATAGGACAAAGGTACGAAAATATATTCTATACAAGAGAGAATTGGAAGAGAGAAGAAACCGAACCTGAGGTGTGAGGTTCCTCAAAATGAGCCACGTGTTCAGCCGAGTTGAAGTACCACAGTCGTTGCTCCAGCTTTGAGCTGCAGACAAATTATAGAAACGCACGCACAGGCAGGCGGCGCACACACACACAGTTAAACTTACACACACACACGCAGGCACACACAAACACAGTTAAACTTACACAAACACAGTTAAACTTACACAAACACAGTTAAACTTACACACACACACACACGCAGGCACACACAAACACAGTTAAACTTACACAAACACAGTTAAACTTACACATACAGGCACACACAAACACAGTTAAACTTACACAAACACAGTTAAACTTACACAAACAGGCACACACAAACACAGTTAAACTTACACAAACACAGTTAAACTTACACATACAGGCACACACACACACAGTTAAACTTACACACACACGCAGACACACACACAGTTAAACTTACACACACACACACAAGAACAACACACACACAGTTAAACGTATACACACATAGGCAGGCACACACACACACGCAGACACACACAGTTAAACTTACACACACACACAAGAACAACACACACACACACAGTTAAACGTATACACACATAGGCAGGCACACACACACACGCAGACACACACAGTTAAACTTACACACACACACAAGAACAACACACACACACACAGTTAAACGTATACACACACAGGCAGGCACACACACACGCAGACACACACAGTTAAACTTACACACACACACAAGAACAACACACACACACACACAGTTAAACGTATACACACATAGGCAGGCACACACACACACACGCAGACACACACAGTTAAACTTACACACACACACAAGAACAACACACACACACACAGTTAAACGTATACACACATAGGCAGGCACACACACACACGCAGACACACACAGTTAAACTTACACACACACACAAGAACAACACACACACACACAGTTAAACGTATACACACACAGGCAGGCACACACACACACGCAGACACACACAGTTAAATTTAAACACACACACAAGAACAACACACACACACACAGTTAAACGTATACACACATAGGCAGGCACACACACACACGCAGACACACACAGTTAAACTTACACACACACACAAGAACAACACACACACAGTTAAACGTATACACACACAGGCAGGCACACACACACACGCAGACACACACAGTTAAACTTACACACACACACAAGAACAACACACACACACACAGTTAAACGTATACACACATAGGCAGGCACACACACACACGCAGACACACACAGTTAAACTTACACACACACACAAGAACAACACACACACACACAGTTAAACGTATACACACACAGGCAGGCACACACACACACAATTACATTTATTGCGCCAGCGTCTCAAAACGCCGTTGGCAAATCAAGACGCTCAACAAATTCAAGTCGTCGCCGACGCGTGCCGCCAGACGGCCTCCCGTCGCCTGCGTTCACCTTCCCACTGCTGGGATGACGACGACGAAGATGACGACGGAGGCCACTTGGACACGTCCTGAGAGATGGGCTTGGGCCCACCCAGCCCACCCATCCCCGGAGGGTGCCTGGGCCGGTACGGGGGTTGAACCGGAGCCTTGGCAGCTCCCCCTGCTCCTCCGCCAGACGAGGAGGATGGGTTGGCAGTGGATGACGACGACGAGGGCTTCCACAAGTCGAGGGCTGGGGAGGCGGCAGTGGACCACGGCTGGCGAATGTCTTCAGGGGACTTGGCTGCGCAACACAGCACACACATTGGCATCGGTTAAGCAACGGGTCGCCAACCCAACCCCCCCCCCCCCCCCCCACATAGACGAACGCACAGAAACCACGGACTGTCGCTGGATCCTATAAGACAAACGCTGAACATACAAACGCTGGATCCGTCGTTTAAAGACTTAGCCCCAAAGTTAATGCTTGCCCCACAGAGCAACTACTGGACCCCATAGACTAAAGCAGGACCCATAGACTAACACTTGACCCGTAGATTAACACTGAAACCATTCAACAACACTAAACCCATAGATTAACACTAGACCCATACAACAAAATTAAACTCGTACAACACCGAACCCACAGATTAACACCGGACCCACAGATTGACACTGGACCTATACCACACTCAACCAATCGTTTCACACTGGACCCACGGGACTACCATTCAACCCACAGATTAACACCGGACCCATAAAACACTTAACCCATAGTTTAACAACGGCCACAGACGAACAGACGGGTTCTCACAGGATGCGCTTCCGTAGCACGAGTCGAACCCGTTTTGGAAACCGTTGGAGTTCATGGGATAGCTCCAAGCCGGCGACACCGAATCTGTAGGAGGAGACGAACGGGGCAGAGAGAGAGAGACGCGTTTCGCAACGTTATTTTATCATTATGGCGCTACCCCGGGGTACCAAATAATACAAAATGGCAATGGCAAATTCAATATCTTTATCTCTGGGACGCTATTTTTTTTTCCAGGGGTGTAACTTCACTCCGCGACTGGGGTTACCAATCAACCCGAAGTCGGTGCCACACTCCGCGATGTCGAAATGCAGGGGAAGGGAGGACGACTGCGCCGAAACCCTGAACGCTCGCAACGCACCACGGCGCATCGCGAGTACAGCTCGTCGAGATTGGTCCACTGCCGCATCGGCGGACCATCAACAGACTAGAAACGACTGCATCGCGTGAGAGCTGGGGGTACCCCGCCATGAGGTCCGTTCCCGCAAAGCGCTTCGCGCGTAAATCCTCACGATTCTGCGACCATCGCACGCGCTCGTCACACGGCAGAGCGCTTGCCACGAGTGAACCACAATACCTCCGCGGCTCATCTCGTCAAGGGGCATAAGCCTCCGGTGATCCTCGCAGAAGCGGCGGCGGCGGCTTTTGGCCAATCATGGAAACAAAGACGGTCCCACTGCATCGCGCGGCGCTTTCAGATGCGCTTCCGCGGGCCGTCTGGAATTGCTCTTCCTTCCGATATGAGGAAGCCGCCGTAGACGTGGAGCTTCAAATCATCTCGGTTGAAAGCTAATTTCTTGACGACTGCTTTTTTTGCGGTCAGTTTGTTGTCCTTCCCCCGCACCTCCAATTACGCGGGCGGCTACGTACGCCGTGGAAGAAGTTCGGCATACATCTCATTCACGTGGCGTCAGAGTGCACCTATCCTGGCACCGGCACTGTGATGACGTCATCACCGCCACTTAACGGCGAACGTCAAATGTTATCGTTATCATTACGTTAGTTTACCCGGGAAAGCCTCGCAGAGTCCGAAGACTTTTCATTCCGAACGGAAAGGCACCCGAGTCGAGAATGGATGCCGGCGTCGTGGTTAGCGCAATGCGCTATGATGCCAGCGACCAGAGTTCGATTCCCGCTTACGGCCAACCACCAGTGGACACTTATCGGAACCAATCCTGGGCCTCCCTAAGGTAGACTTGGCCTCAAACGAGCACCTTGTGCCAAGTTTGAACATCGCCACTCGAGACAACGGCAGACGCTCGTGTTCAAGCTAACAGCGCTTGCCGCTACAGCCTGTTAACGCTACAAAGGGTGATTTGTGTGTGTGTGTGTTCTGGACTCACTTTGAATAGCCGAGTCAGCATCAGAGTCCGAGTCAAGATACTGCAGACCCTTCCAAGGCTCCCCTGGACGGAATTCTTAAAGCACAGGCAAGATATACAACATGATCGTCATCAGCCACCATCCATTCACTAGAACATCAAGCACTCCCCCACCGTCCCCCCTCAAGCCTAATTATGGCTAACATAACCAGAGTACACACACACACAGACATATACGAATACTTACACACATACGCATGTTAACAAATATCTCCATTATAGCCTTCGCGGGTGTTGAGAGCAAGTGTCGTTATAAGCAAACACCTGTTAAGGCCGGGATCCCGCAGTAGAGGGGGATGTTATTGGCCAGCACCATGCCCTACCACCTTCATCTCCCCAGTGCTAACTCTTAAACGTCGCACCAGATACTCCTCCCAATGTCCTGACAGCTATTGGGGTCATTAGACCATACTTCACCACGCTGGCGGGTATTGGTTTGTTAAGGGGTGGGGGGGGCACAGAAGATCACTCGTCGCTGATGTTAGCCGTGGCCGGGAATCAAACTCGGGTCGCTGGGTTCACGGCGCAGTGTGTTAACCACGACTCTACCACTCGTACACACACACGTACGCGGTACATACAAATACATATACACACATTTACAAATAAATCACAGACCAACAATCGTCGCATAGACTAATAGTTGGCCTATAGAATAACAATGGTCCCCAAAGACTAACACTGGACACCCATTGAATAACACCAGTTCTATAGCCCATCAGTGATCATATAAAATTATACTGGTCCCATAGACTACTCCTTTGCCTATACAACACTAATCTTAACAACACTAGACTGACACTGGTTTCATAGACCAACACTGACCCAATCGTCTTAACACCACACCCACATAAAATAACTTTGCTCATATAAAATAATAGACACAGACCAAGGCACACAGACCAACACTGGTTACCTAAATCAACACGGGACCCAAAGACCAACCTGGTTCCCAAATAGCTTAACACGCAATAGGCTAACGCGACCGATATTCACAATAAAGTTTTGTTATTAGATCGCTTAAGTATAAATGTGTCATAATAGGGTTTTTCCCCTTATTTCTGGCAACAAAACTGTAACCTTTTTTACAAGGATTAATGTTACTGCATTAACCACAATACCTGCAGTCAAAATGCAAACAAAAAACATACTATGATAATATATGCATTGTCCTTGAAACTGATTGGTCCACCATCACATCGACATCATCATTTGGCGTCAAAAGGCCTTTTGGCGTCATCTGGTCGAGCACCAATTGGGTCGAGGCTCAAAAGAAAGCCGTCCCTTGGTGTGGACCAATCAGTTTCAAGCACAATGCATATATTATCATAGTATGTTTTTTGTTTGCATTTTGACTGCAGGTATTGTGGTTAATGCAGTAAACATGAATCCTCGTAAAAAAGGTTTCAGTTTTGTTGCCAGAAAAAAGGGGAAAAACCCTATTATTACATTTTGGTACTGGCAAAGGAGGTCTGATGATGAGATATAAATGTGTCGTAACCCTCCACCACCCGACACAGCCAGTAAGGTTTGGCACGTAAACAAACGTGCTTCAATCCACCGGTAAATCGCCCAATGATGCTGGATGCAATTGCCAGCAAAACGTCGTACTCAAACGATAAATGTTGTGGATTTACTCTCCAACACACCAGTGGGCTGGAGCAGTAACCAACTGGCACGTTTTGTTTACGTGACAATCCTTACTGGCTGTGTTGAGTTACGACACATTTATACTCGCACGATCTAACCAAAAAACCTTTATTATGAATTTGTTCCCAAGTCTTAACACCGGAGACCATAGACCAACACTGCACTCATACGGACTGTCACTGAACCCAAAGGTCAACTCGTACCAGGAGGCCAACCAATTCCTTCCGTGCCGTTGGACACTTTTCCTCCGCCGGGCGGTGGCGGCGAGGGAGAGAGGAGTACAGGCGCGGCCCCAGGCTTCTCCCTGTGCAAGGCCCCACTGGCCGCCCCAACTGTGGCTGCCGATAGCGATGATGATGATGACGATGACGCTCCTGATGATGTCGATGTGATGGTGGTGGCACTGGGAGGCTGGGACCAGGGGTCTGAGAGAAGCTGGGCTGCGTTTGAGGAGGCCAAAGACTGGGAGCCTAGAGAGACCGAGAGAGAGAGAGCGCGTTAGTGTTACCGTCATCATAATAATCGAGAGCCATGGTTTATCCGCTGCTAGATGAAGGTCGCCCTATGCTTTTACCGTTCCTCACGGTCCTGCGATGCCACAATTCACCTCACTTCTGCACGACAACTGATCTCAATCATTCCCGGAATATAGTGCGAATATACAAACCGACGTATACCATAAAAACAAAGACAAGTCTACGTACACAAAGATACACACACACCCCTACACAACGACACGTACGTACAAAGACAAAGATCCACCCCCACCACCACCACCACCAGTGGTAGCGTTTATTTATAGCCTGTTCTGGCAAGTGCTGTTTGCGAGCACCTTTCAACGCTGGCAGAGCACAGGTGCAGCAAGGTGGTGGTGTGGCTGGCACCACATCGATCGTGACATCAAGAGTACAATCGGGGCAGGATTGGGGATAAAGGCAAACTTACGAGATGTGTTTAGTTTGTTGCCCTTCCCCCGCACTTCCGATTAGCACGGTTGGCGACGTACGATGCAAAAGAAATTCAACATACATACACGACATACAACTACTATACACTACGCTACGTACGGTGCAAAAGTTGACGATGCATACACTACAAACTACACTACGACACACTTCACTACTCTCCACCACGCTACACACTAAACCACTATACTAAATTGAAAATACATTTCTTTAGAACTGCTTCTTGTGTTTCTTTTGTCGTCCTTCCCCCGCACCTCCAATTAGCACGGTTGGCTACGTACAGTGGCAAAGTTCAACACACATACACTACATACTACACGACTATACACTACACCACTACACTTAATTGAAAATTCAATTCATTATAACTGTTATTTTGTGTTGAGTGGTCCCCTTCCTCCGCACCTCCGATGAGTACGGTTGGCTACGTACAGTGGCAAAGAAGTTGAACATACGAAGTGCAAAATACAAAATATAATAACACAAACAGAGCCTCTTTAACTGTGTATATAATTCACGGTTATGCTGTACACAGATCCCCGATGTTTTTCACATTGTGTTGATAAGCCACTTTGTTGAGCTATCATTTGTGTCGCTTCTGAGAAAGAAGCTAATAGCCAAGTGGGCTTTACTTGGTAAGAAAAAGTTTAGTTTGATTTGTGTATATTTTTTTAAAATGATTGTTTACCCCTTCCTATACTTTGCACTCCTGTCCTATATATTTTAGTATTGTTTATTGTTGTAACGTTGTGATGTGCCCCTACCGGACATCAGAAAAGAAGAGCTTTATAGCTCATCAGATTCCTCCGATACAGTAGAACCCCTATGAACGACGGTAATTAGTTCCATTAAACTGGTTGCTAAGTGATATGGTCATTAAGAGAGTATAGGAAGGACAAGCTAAAGCCTTAATTCGTACCGATAGCATCGAAAGTTACCTTTTTTTGACCCAATTTTTTTTTACTTTATGTTTAAACAATGGACATTAACACAAAGATACTAACAACATGATAAACACATGATATTAAAAGAAAAACGGTTAATCAATGCAAAGAAGTTGAACATACGAAGTGCAAAATACAAAGTATAATAATAACACAGCCTCTTTAACTGTACCTACAACAGCCCGTCGTTAACAGCGGAATGGTCGGTAAGCGAACACTTTGGGCTCTATGGAGGCACTACACCACTATACACTACACTACTATACACTACACTAATATACACTACACTATGGTACACTACACTACTATACACTACACTACTATACACTACACTACTATACTATACACGACACTACGATACACTACACTATGATACACTACACGATACACTACACTACGATACACTACACTACGATACACTACACTACTATACACTACACTACTATACACTACACTATACACTATGATACACTACACTACGATACACACTACACTATGATACACTACACTACGATACACTACACTACTATACACTACACTATATACTACATTACTATAAACTACACGACTAAACACTAAACATTGGGCTCTATGGAGGCCCGTTGTTAAACGAGTAGTCTTTAACAGGGGTGGTCGTTAAGAAGGGTTCTACTCTACACTACACCACTATACACTACACATTGGGCTGTGGAGGCTGGTCGTTAGGCGATTAGTCATTAACAGGGGTGGTCGTTAAGAGGAGTTCTACTGAATAAATATTTTGATTCTGTTGGCACGATGTCCGACGTTTCACTCCAAATGCAGGGAAAGTTCTGGAGCAACTGAAAAGTTTATTTCGGCTTCTTCAAAACAGCCATCACAACATTCCTGAAAAGACGCTACAGGCACGCGGAACAAAACTTCGGACGATGCCCAACAACGTGCAGTACAACAACCCGAAAAACTAGGGCTGCCACCCGTTCCCCCTGGGGTTCACCACTCCGGGAATTGGCATCTGTTTGCGCGGTGGGGATTGACATTTGGATCGATGGTGGAACTGCGTTGAACTTCACGACAGTACACTGCACGGTTTCTAACATCCCCGCGAAGATATAAGCTCCGGATTGTTCTGCGGAAAAGGTGGTAAACCAACCACTCATTCACTCACTCACTCATTTATTCAATCGTTAATTTGCCAGTCGGTCACTCACTCACAACCCATTGACTGCACCACACACTCCCCGCGCCCCACTATGGCGATCTCACCTGTGCGGGCCCGACCTGTAGAGTCCGGGTATCGTCCCGGCGTCTGCGTTCGGTTGGCAGAAATCGATTTGTACCGGGATCTGGCAACCGGCACTGCTGTGTTGAACTTCATTACAGTAAACTGCACCGTTTGGACAACCGCCCTAAGTGCCGACCGTGAGCTACGCGCGGGTTCGGTTCGGTGGAAAAGGTGTCTGAAACACACCGGGAGAGCTCTCGCTCCTTGCCAGTTGATGATAGTCCAAGAAACGAAGTTGAATTGCTTAATTAAACGCAATTTGACGTTGGCCATAGAGGAAGAGGGGGCTGAGCGAGGGAGGGAGGGGGGTCCCTGTGTCTCACCGTGTTTGTCGGAGGTCACGCTGCCCCCGGGACTGAGCGACCACTCCCTGAACCGAGAGCCGATCGCCGACACGGGGTCCAAGGAGCTGGCCTCCGCTCCCGGCGCTGAGAAGGCAAAAGCGTCGGCAAAAAGAGAACGCCGATGTTAGTATACACACGGTGAGGGGGGGCGTTTCAACGAGCAGACGAACGTTTATCGTCATGGTGGCGACTGCATGAATCACGGAAGGAGGGGGGAAAAAAACCCATCGCCTATCTTGCCTGTCATCAGCAGTGGGTCCACCGAAAAAAACAGCACATCCAGCACCATCGCCGTCATTAACAACCATCGCCGCCACCGTGATTATAGTCACAAATCATGTTACCATAATGAATTGCCGCCTTCAAGAACACCACTGCCGTCCGTCAATGCCGCCGACAAGGTCATAACCATCACCACCACCACCACCATAAAAATAGTCACCACCACGACTACAACTATCACCCCACCTCCACCAACGTCATCACCAATCACCACCATTACCCTTCACGACTACTATCACCACCTTCCTTACTACCACCACATTCTTCATCGTCGTGGCCGCCACCACCACCACCACCTCCCCCCACATAGCAGGCAGGATCTCCGTCCGTACCCAGGAGGAAAGAGTTGGTACCGAGCCGTTCCCTGCTCTGCACGTCCGTGTGGGGCGGTGGGGGTCCGTGCGCGTTTCCCCGGTGAGATGACGCCCCTCTCTGGTGCAGCTGCTGCTGCTGTTGCTGCTGCTGCTGCTGTATAATCGTGCTGAGTGTCCGAGCCACCTGCGCAAACGACAGAATGGACGTCAGAGAAGGGAAGCGGTTGTTACACCCCACCCCTCCCTCCCAACTTCAACACAACAGAATTTAGAATTCCTGAGAAATCGACCAAAACCGAATTTGAAAGCAATTCTCACACAACGCATCGGCAGCACTGCTTTACCGGAGTGCATACATTTCAGCAGTACTGTTTCAAGAGGAGCAAATCTCTGACCGGTATTGACCAAGTGTCTCGTATGTACGCACGCATGTTCAACTTCTTTCACACCATATTCTTGGTTCTTTCGGTAAAGTCACGTGACTTGACCGAAAGAACCAAGCATATGAATCACTGCAGTCACGAAAGCTTGAAATCAAAATTTCTTTCACACCGTACATGGCCAACCGTTCTAATCGGAGGTACTAATCGGGGGGGGGGGTCTCATCAGCAGTGTGGCTTGCTTGGATGGTACACAAAGACACATACACAAGGAAGTGGCACTGGGCTCGAATGGAGAAAGCGGTATACAGCAAAAGCGCAGATGATATCATCTGTCCCTTCTGTGTGGCATAGCGTTGTCCCCCTCAAATGTCATGGGATTTTCCCCGGTTCCCCCACTCCCGCATAGTGTAAACGCTCATTAATTGGCCGAAGAGATCTTAATATACAGGGTGCTAAAACAAAAAAAAATTGTAACACTTCCGATAATTTGCAACGATACCACAAGAAATGTGCTCCCTCCGGGTTCTGGATTCCAGGCCGTGTGTTGACAATGATGGCAAACGAGTGGAGACCGACTTTGAGGCTATTTGTTATCATGTTACAGTGCATCATCTGTTCTTTTTCAATTAAAAAAAGATAGTATCCTACGAGTGTAAACATTTTTTGAAGCACCCGGTGTATAGAGGACCGTAGATCTTGGACAACTGTAGGTGGCGGCAGCCATCCCCCCCCCCAGGGGCTGCTCGTCTGTGATTCCTCAGCGACTGCGAGTTTCCATTTGCATCAACGACGCTACGTGTATATAAAACTAACGCTGCATTGCCACCACATGCAGCCACTCCCCAACCATTACCATCTTCTCCAGATTGTAAGACACACTGAAGTTCCCCAGCATTCCATCCTATATTTTGTTTACTTTAAAATATTTCACGCACTCGTTTCACAACTTTTTCCCCCAGGGTTGTTGCATTCCCGGAGAATTTTTTTTTTTTTTAAAACGACACCAAACGGTGGGGTTGACGTCTTACTTTTCGGAACATCTCATAATCCAGAGCATGCGGTTGCCCGGAGAATACGATTGGTTCACAAGTGACGACACCGAATTTATCCCTCCGAGACCGAAACGGGAGGATGGCTCCACAACTCTGGCCGTCGCCTGACGAGGCTGCTTGTAATTACCGGTGAAACGTCACCGGCTACCCGAATCGCAAATGTTCGAGATTATTTACTCTCCAACGCAGCGGTGCGTGCTGAACTAGTAACGAATTGGCCACGTTTTGTTCACGTGACAAACCCCCTTACTAATTTGGCTGCGTCGGGTGGTGGCGGGTTTAGCGGCACGTTTACAATTTTCGCGATCCAACCCCGCGAGAGTCTATCACAGAGAAAATTGTTCACGTTCAATCGTACCTGCGCCTCCTGCTGCTGTCTCAGCGCCGCCGATGCATTGCGCGATCCCTGCTGCAGCAGCAGTCTCTGCTGCGCCTACGGGGGGGGGGGCAGGGCGGAGGGGGGCAGCATGTAACAATCAAGTCTCCAAGCATCGCGAGGACGCAGCCCCACGGCACGTTGGGTGGGACGACACCCAAGTTGCCTTCTAGGCCCCTCCGGCGGATAAATGCCGCTCGCAGCTGCACAGATCACGAGCGTGAAAAATAGTCGGACGGTGGATTATCAACGTCTCCAAACGCCATATTGCGTTGTCAAATTAAAGCTCGGAGTGCCCCGTGCCTGATGAAAAGTAACATCCCCATGTGCCGGAAGGGGAACGTTTTCCTTTCATCAGTGCGCACTACGCGATGTGACGTAGCTCGTGAAACACGCGCACGGCCATTTGCAGCCGCGGCCGAGATCATCAGCAAGCGAAACCGAGAACTCGGTTTAACGTCTCGAAAATCGTGATCATTAACGGGAAGAAAAAAAAAACCGTCGAACGAAACCATTCAAAGTGCGCAAAGGGGGAGCACAGAGAGAAGCAGCGTGCTTGGAATTACGCTGAAGCAAAGAAAGAGGGCACGCGTCGATCGAAGCGATAGGAGAACACAAGTAGGTTAATGACACCACTCAAAACGGTTAGGGAAAGTCAGCGGCGCTCGTGCCGGGAGCGACACTCCGCAAGGAAAGGCGATGGCCGATGGTCGAGAACAATAAGGGAGCGTGGCAAGACAAGGAACGAAATCGCCACCACACACCCCCCCCCGCCCCCACCCCTGAGGGGTAGATGGGAGTAATGAAATCAGCTCTGGTGCAGCACAGGTGCCGGGGGAAATCGCTGCTGCATCACAGCACCGTGCGTGGCGGCGGCGGCGGCAGCGGGGGAAGGCCTTAACCCAGCAGCGGTGTTTTGACCATGGCCGATGGCGATTGACATCTAGCCTGGCGCAAAGCTTCCGTGGGGAAAAATCAAGGCTTCGCGAGTGGCGTGTGCGTGTGAACTGACCAGCTGTATCTGAGCCTGAGCCAGTTGGTTGAGCACTGCGAACTGTTGAGGCCCCAGGTTTCCCTGCATGAGCTGGGCTGGGCTAATATTATTGGCCCTGGCAGCACATTGCAACAGCTGGGCAGGGGACAACTGGGCACACAAACACACACGGGGGGTATGAAGATATATATGCACAGTAGAACCCCTCTTAACGCTGGCGATTGGTTTCACGAAACCGGTCAAGTGATTTGGTCGTTAAGCAGGTACAGGAGATGCAGTAACACCAAGAATTCAAAACGAGACGTTTCCACGTCAAAGCGTCAACAGACACCGGATGTAAACGACGTGCACCCCCCCCCAACGCTCACGAACGGACACCGCCGATTGGCCGAGGCCATGGTCAGACCTTTCTGGGGCTCGCCGATTGGCCGAAATTGGCGGTTGCGTGCTCGTTGCGAGCCCGTCGTTAATAGGGGAATGGTCGGTAAACTCCGTGGAGGCCTGTTGTTAAGCGATGAGTTGTTACCGGGCGTGTTCGTTAAGAGGGGTTTCTACCGCATGTATAGACATTGTCATTGGCACAATCCTGCTGTCGTACCTAGGGTTGGGCACCCAGTCGCTACCTCACTGTGCTCGACAGAAAATTCAGAGTAAATCAGCAGGTGGTGCGCGATTTGATGATCGACCGACTGGCTCCGGGGTCGCTCGCGAAACCGGCGGTCACTCGCCTTCTGTTCACTCTTGGATGTCTAGTGCTACGCTCACTCTGCAGGTGCACTTCACTCCACCACGCGTTGAGGACTGTCTACCAGACGAACCATGTCTGGTAGACCGTGTCCGATTAACACAGTTGGCTACGCACGGTCCAAAAGAAGTTCAACATACACACGTCTCGTCTTAACCATTTACAATGAAAAAATATTCAAGAGCAATGTCGAGTAACAGATATAAAGACAAGGTAAACAAGACGTAAAGAGAGACATGCATGCATTTATATAAACCTCCTCGAGCCGAGTCTCAAGACGCTGAGACCCGGTCTCCTGGGGCCGAGAGTCTCAAGACGCTGAGACCCGGTCTCCTGGAGCAGAGTCTCAGGACTCTGAGACCCGGTCTCCTGGATCCGAGTCTCAAGACACTGAGACCCGGTCTCCTGGAGCCGAGTCTCAAGACAATGAGACCCGGTCTCCTGGAGCCGAGTCTCAAGACCCTGAGACCCGGTCTCCTGGAGCAGAGTCTCAAGACCCTGAGACCCAGTCTCTTGGAGCCGAGAGTCTCAAAATGCTGAGATCCAGTCTCCTGGAGCTGAGTCTCAAGACGCTGAGACCCGGTCTCCTGGAGCCGAGAGTCTCAAGACCCTGAGACCCGGTCTCCTGGAGCTGAGAGTCTCAAGACGCTGAGACCCGGTCTCCTGGAGCTGAGTCTCAAGATGCTGAGACCCGGTCTCCTGGAGCCGAGAGTCTCAAGACCCTGAGACCCGGTCTCCTGGAGCTGAGAGTCTCAAGACTCTGAGACCCGGTCTCCTGGAGCAGAGTCTCAAGATGCTGAGACCCGGTCTCCTGGAGCTGAGTCTCAAGACTCTGGAAACCCAGTCTCCTGGATCCAAGTCTCGCTGCCCTCACCTGATTGGGTAGAAATGGGGCTGGAATCTGCGAGCGAGCACCGGCTCCGGGATTGGAGAACATTTGTCCCTGCGAAGGGTGGTTGTACCCTCTCCTGTGTCCTCCATTCTGAAAATAGTGAACAACCAAAGCCAGGCACAATGGAGGCTGAGTGAGCATCTAGAACTCTATGGGTTCACCATGGCCGTGTCACAAGACACTCGAGTGACCTTTATTAACTCTTTCTTATTCTGATGACGTATGTGCACGTACGTGTACGTCATCCCAACGGAATAGGGGAAAATGTTTTTTTTAATGTTTTCACTTTATTGGTAAGCCTTCTGGTCGGAAGCCGTACCCCGAGGCTCCCACAGGGCCATGCGGGAGGGCGTGGCAAATTTTGGCGCCCAGCTAACAGAATGCGGTCGTGTCGCGAGAATTATCTACGGCCAGCACATAGTCTGGCCAACGGTTTGGTAAAATTAAGGTTTTGCAGCCGAACGTAATTATTTCATATTCGGCACTTGGGGTTGGGTCATGTAATTATTTGGCAGCCAAACAAATTAAACCATCAGGCGCGCAAGCATCCAAACGAACGTGCCATGTCGAGTGTTTCGGTTCGGTGTGGAAGGGAACCCAGGGAGCACCTGCCTTGCGTCCTGCACCTCAGCTATGATGGTCGACCGCACACTCACCTGCTCGTAGAGGTGAGCGCGTTCCAGCGAGGGCTCTCTCAGGCCAGCGTTGGGGCTTCGGGTCAAACCGCCGCCATAGTCCGGGTTGACTTTGTCGACATTAGCCTTCAGCAGGGCTCCTAAGAACATCACGACGACGACGACACCACCACAACAACAACAAAGACAGGATCACACACATTTCCACACGTTTCCGGTGACCCGTGCCAAAGCAGAAACACTTTTTTGGGGGGCTCGTGTGGCCAAGTTCTACGTGGGTTTTTGCGGCCGTGCTATCAAACACCTCGACGAACGTTTTGGGCTGTGCCGCCGTGTGCCATTTGACACGACGTCTGACGTTTCGCTCCACGTGCCGGGGAGCTTCTTCAGGAACATTATCGGTCGCCGATGCGCTTTCAGGTGGCTCGGCCGCGTGCCGTCCAGCGCTTCTCTCGACGCGCCGGGAGCTTCTTGAGAAGGCCAACAGACCGGTCGGCCGCTTGGGGGAATTTCCCAGCGCGTGAAGCGAAACGTCGTGCCAAACGCACCAACCCGAAAACACTTCGGAGAGCCACGCGGCATAGTCACATATGGGGAGCAGGTTAGGCCCATACACCGCAGATAGAAGTGGCCGGGTGTACGTGTGTACTTATGTTTAACCTCTTTCGCACCGTGCGTAGCCAACCGTGCTAAACGGAGGTGCGAGGGGGAAGGACAACAAAACACAAAAAGCAGTTCTAAAGGAATTCGTTCGTGAATCTTTATGATATTAGAAGTGCATCACTCCAGTAGCTTCCTAATATCGGAAGGAACTGCGGTTCCAGACGGCCGCAGAAGCGCGCGATGCGGTGACCCGTCTATGTTCCATGGCCAGCCAAAGGCCACTGCTGCTGCGAGGATGACCGCGGTTTGCGTGAAAAGAGTCGGCTCACAAGGGCAATGAAGTTTCACGACGGCCGTGTCAGCCAGCTGCTGCAAACAACGCCGAGCTCTTTTAATATGAGTTGAGGAGAGCAGGCGATCAGCCGGGCCCTCAAAAGGTGGCGTTGTTCCCAGCGTTCGTGTCACATCAATCGAGGAGCAATGCTTAATCCGGGCGAGCTGAACTGCATCCAAATTTTGCAACAAAGGATATTCAACACGAACACGAATGGCGAAATTAAACGAGCAAAGAAGACATCCTTTGGGTCTTTCGGTAAAGTCACGCAGATAGGTGAACAAGCAAAAAATACGATGTTTCGATCGCAACACAAGCGATCGAAACATAATCGTCCCGCTGACGAACGCTCGTGTTGCGATCGAAACGTCGTAGTTTTTTTTGTTATTGTCTTTGAACCTATCCACGTGACTTTACCGAAAGACCCAAGGAATACGAATTCCTGCAGTCACGAAAGTTTGAAGTCAAGAGTAAAGAATAAATGATTGAGCACACCCCCTCATCTAGAGAACATTCTCACGCTGACAACTCACCCAGTGCCAAGTCCGAGTTGAGGTTGTTTGAAAGAAGCATCTCTTCTGCTTGGTCCCTCTGTGACGACGGACAAAAAAAAACAACCACCACACAAAGCGGCTTATTATTGTTTGTTTCACTTGTTTGCCCAAGAAAAGTCTCACCGAGTCTCTCAAGACCTCTTTTTCAGGAGGGTCCTGCCAAGTTTATACCGTCGGGGGGGGGGGGGGGGGGGGACAGGATTGCTACTGCCACTGCTGCCATGTGCAATTCCAATTGAGTAATTTAAGCGAGGTGAATTTTCAGTATTGGGATGTTTTGGCCAACGCTTTTTTTTTGTTAGCCATGGGAGGAAACAAGACAACACGCCAATCTTCCGTGAGGGAACACTTTCCGCACCCCGTTAAAACGCGGAACGCGCGCACCGTTATAACGCGCCTTTTGAGCAGTCCATGGCCCATTACTTTCGCGAGCTGCGTGACGCTGAGCGGAGTGATAGTTACCCTCAGTTATTTATCCCGCCATCTGACTGTGCGAGTTGTACATCGTGGCTCGCCAAACATTATCACCACATTATTTACGGGGAAATTGTTTTTGCCAAATGTGTTTTTTCGCTCAACGAGGCACTTTTCAAGAATGCATCTACCACGTTAAACGAGGGGATTATCGCACACGCGTGTCTCTAGTGAGCAGCGGTAGTGTCGAGGTTAGACCACCGCGCTGTGAACCCGAGTTCGATTCCCACTCGTGACCAATAACAGTGACAAATATTATGAATCGCCCCTGGGCCTCCCCCAAGATCAACTCGGGCTTAAATGAGTAACAGGTACGGTGTGTTAACATCAGCAATGGTGAGATGAATGCGACCAGGCATGGTGCTGGCCACCCAGCCCCTCGTGTGCCGTGCCAGCCTGAAAAGTGCAAGTGCTGTTAGCAAGCGCGTCTGCTTAGGCTACACTTGTGACCATTGTATTTGCTCGTCACTACCTGGTCTGGATATATAAGCTAGTCTTCAGTTGTTTCGCGTGTGAAATTGATCACTGGAAGCCACACCTGGTGAGCCGTGTAAAATGGGGGTCACTCACCGACAAGCCTAGGTCAGTGAGCTGCTTCACGAGACGCGCCAACATCAGCTCATAACCCTGCAGACATCACCACCACCGACAGCATTAGGATTCATCACCATTCTCATTGGCGCAACCACAACGAGCACCAGCGTCAGGCGTCACCACAGCAACCCCCTTTCTGCATATGTAGACTTAAACAAAACAGGCGTGTAATAAAAGCATGAGCACGCGCTCATGTTTACGGGAAAATACACGACCCCTACAACTCTTCTCAGGCAGACACCAATGTACAAACGAGCTACTCGGGCACACACACCACATAAGCCTCCACATGCACAAACAGGCATGCACCTCCACACACACAACCACACCCCCCCCCCCCCCCTACACATACAACTACAACCACACGCACACAAATGCCTACACCGCGCTCACACCGATATTCACAGATGCCCTCAAATTACACGGGAAATGTGGAAGGCTCTTGCTTGGCAGGTCACGGGATAGACCCGGGGGGGTGTTGTGGCTCAACTGGGATGCACGACCTGTGGCTCCTCACTGTACCACCTTACTCGATTTATCTACACTGTGCCACGCTCTTTGCTGCGAGCATAAACTCCTCCATCCGTTATTGTTTGGAGAGCAACGCACACAAACCATAAATACACACACCCCCACACTGCCGCTTCCACCAATATACCAATACCAGCCATTAGTCACTAAGTGACGCTGACGTTACCACGGCATCTGTAGGAGGCTAGGTGCACTTTGAGGCCACGCGAAGTGTCGAACGTTCGCCGACAGGAGGCCACGGGACAGACCCAGCTGCTTCCACCACCACCACCACCACACACCTTGGGCTGTTGCTGCTGCTGTTGCTGCTGCTGTTGCTGGTGCTGTTGCTGCAGTGGTTTCCTCCACGGATGTCCCCCAGGACTGTGCGTCGAGAGGGGCCCCCCATTCCACAGGCTTTCCGAAGCGAGGTCGTCAGCGGGGGGCCCCCCGAGTGTGGTCCAGTCAGGAGAGAACCCATCTGCAGCGGGGGGCCCCCCACTCCAGCCGTCCATTTTGTTCCTGTCTGCACGCAGCGCCAGCCGACAACACAAACCCACTGAGACCCTCGGAGGTGGAGGTAAAGGCGCAGCCCTGCAACCAGTTTCTCACGCCACAGCTGGCGAAGGGGCATGCCTACGAGAGCTACGCACTTTTACATCGTCTAGATTGAAAACTAATTTCTTCAGGACTGCTTTTTTTTGTGTTTAGTTTGTTGTCCTTGCCCCGCACCTCCGATCATGAGCACATTTCGCTACGGACGGTGCGAAAGAAGTTCAACGTACGTACGAGAGGCAGCTCTGCTCGACACTTACACACGTTGGCCAAGACGTCACCTGGCACCACCCCACGCAACGTGCCCATCAACTAACTGTGGCGAATCCATTTACACTCTGGGTGGACAGAGGCGGCGGGGAGGGGGGCGGTAGATTTAAGAAACTTGCCCCGTCGTTCGAACTGCTGCGCCACGGGGGAATGAAACTAACCGGCGACCTTCGGGTTGCAAGTCCAGTGTGCTAACCGTGACAGCGCGCGAGCATGTAGGCTTGGAATGGGGGGGGGGGGGGGGGGAGGTTCACGACAGCCGGGTAGAGAACACAGTCACCGAGCCGGCACCGCCAACAACTTGGGTTGGAAACTCAACTGTTGACCTCTCACGGAACGATCAAGTCACCATCGACGCATGCGATGACGCGGGCGGCATCGTGTCTTCGCCGTGCACGTGCCCGACTCGACGTCACACGACCTACACCAAGCACTGCGTGGCCCCGAGCCATATTCAGATACTGCGAGGCCCAATTATCGCGGTTAGTGGCCAATGGAAAACCACCGCTAGCGCGGTGGGGGGGGGAATGGGGGGTGAATGGGGGGGGGGGGGGGAGGGCCTGCGCTGGCTGTGCCGGAGAGTACGTCCTTAAGGACCCCACTGTCAAATCCACAAAACCTAAGGCCATCCATCTAATTACCTTCTAAATATCCCTAGAACAAGGATTGACAGAGGTGACAAAGCCTTTGCTGTTGCAGCACCAACGTTTTGCAAGAACCTTGTTTCCCCCCCTAACATCGTAAATATTCCTTCAAAACATATCATGAAGCAGAAGATGAGTGCTGGGTACGGCAGTCACATTTGCAAATGTGATTTGTAAAATTGCTCCTTGCCTGTATATCAATAGTTCGGTTAATGGTGCCATCATATTGAGGAACTACTGCTGTGTTATCTTGGTGTGGTCTGGGATTGCTTTGCTGTTTATTTCACCGACTTAACCAAGCTTGGTACATTGGACTTATTATAATTATTGTCTTTATTACTTATTCATATTCAGTGACTTGCTTACAACTTTCTCTATCTTTGCACCGCCATCGTTCATTTGTGTGCGTATTGTTGGCCGCGGTCATCTGCCGACACCCCCGTGCCCACACTGGGGATTTCTGCGGGAAAAATAACTTCGGAGGCTCATCGAATTCCTCCTTCGGTGCAAATAAAGATTCCCAACTCACCAGTTCTGCTGGAGAAGCGCTCCGCTGCCGGCGTGTTGGCCCACCCCGACACCGGTCGCCCGGCATTGGTTGGAAGCAGCCCGGGGGGGTCGGGGGCGGGCGGGGGATGCGACGCCGCCCACCCCGGGGTTGCGCCCTCTCCGCCTCGACCCCACAGCGATGTGCCATCATCGCCGCGGGAGAAGCCTTCGGAAGGCCGCGAACGATCGTACCAGCCTGGGAGAGAGAAGGCACATCGCGTCTCGAGGCTCGGCTCCAGGAAGACCGGGGTCTCGGGGTCTCGAGACTCGGCTCCAGGAGACCAGGGTCTCGAGACTCGGCTCCAGGAGACCGGGGTCTCGGGGTCTCGAGACTCGGCTCCAGGGTCTCAGGGTCTCGAGGCTCGGCTCCAGGAGACCAGGGTCTCGAGACTCGGCTCCAGGAGACCGGGGTCTCGGGGTCTCGAGACATGGCTACAGGGTCTCGGGGTCTCGAGACACGGCTACAGGAGACCAGGGTCTCGGGGTCTCGAGACTCGGCTACAGGAGACCAGGGTCTCGGGGTCTCGAGACTCGGCTCCAGGGTCTCAGGGTCTCGAGGCTCGGCTACAGGAGACCAGGGTCTCGGGGTCTCGAGACTCGGCTACAGGAGACCGGGGTCTCGGGATCTCGAGACTCGGCACCAGGAGACCAGGGTCTCAGGGTCTCGAGGCTCAGCTACAGGAGACCGGGTTTCAACACGAATATCATTCACAACACAGAGCGTCTCTCTCACCAGTCGGAGACAATTTCCTCATGGGCGCTGCTCCTCCTTGTATGGGACGCCCGCGATCCTGCTGCTGCTGCTCGCTCGATGCAGACATCCCTCTCCTCCTGCCGCCGCTCCCAATCTGCCCATACCTTCCCTCTTCCTCCCAGTCTGCATCCCACAGCCCCATCGTGTCGCTGTTCCGGCCGCCACCTCCCCACCCACCCTCCAAGCCCATCCTCTGGTGCTGTTGCTGCTGCTGCTGTTGCTGCTGATGCTGTTGTTGGTGCTGCTGGTAGGCAGAGGGAGGCCTAGAATCATCCCAGCCTCTCTGCATCGCGCTTGAAGATGAAGACGACATTGCCGGCGGCGGTGGAGGCATCGCCGGTGTTTGTGCCATTGCCACAGCTTTGGCAGATGCCGCCTGCTCTTCCCACGTTCCCCAGCGCTCAGTCGAAGCAACTCCCCAACCTCTGCTTGCGCCACCACCATCGCCGCCGCCCCTTTGCGAGCGGGAGTCACTCCAACCGCCAGCGCTATCCCAAGTTTGCTCAGCGGCCCGTCCAGTCTGCCATTGCCCTGCTCCATGATTCTTCTGCTGCTGCTGCTGTTGCTGCTGTTGCTGCTGTTGCTGCTGTTGCTGCTGCTGCTGTTGTTGTTGTTCAGCCCAGCTCGAATGGGGCTGCAGTCCAAACTTTGACTTTGTTGAGGACGATGATGACGACGATGCAGTACCAGTACCAGCAGCAGCGGCTGCGGCAGCTGCCGCGATAGCGGGGGCAATGTCCTCCCAGTAGCCCACCGTGAAGCCATCGTCCCAGCCGCACGATGACGGTGACGTCCACTGCCTCACATTGGTTCCCTCCCTACGAGCCGCCTGCTGCTGTTGCTGCTGCGGGGGTGGCGGCGGCGGAGGCGGAGGCTGCGGCCTTGGCGGCGATGCGATAGGCCACGGCGTGTTCTGCTTCACCGGCATTTCGCCCCAGCCGGCGTTGGAGAGCACGCGGGGGTCGATTTCGCGCCGGTTTTGGGAGGCGGGCGCTTCTCCCGCCGGCGTCTTGATGCACGGATTGGGGGGTCCGTTCCTGCTGCTGGTGCCACTACCGCCGGTGCTGCTTCCGCCACTGCTGCTTCGAGCTCCACTGCTGTTACCGTTGCTCACTACGGTTACACCCGCTAACCCAACGATGCTGCTGCTGCAACTGCCGCTTACTGTCATGCCAGCTGGGGCCGACACGCTGCTGCTGCTGTTATTGCTGCTACCTCCACTCGTAGCACTGGCTGCGCCTGCCGCATTATTGCTACCGCTGCTGCTTTTCACTGTGGCACCCGCCGTATTATCGCTGCTACTGCCATTGCCCACCGTAACACCGGTTGCGCCTGACATTTTATTGCTGCTGCTGCCGCCGACCGCAGCGGCGCCCGCTGCACCTAGGTTGTTACCGCTGCTGCTGCTACGGTGCTTGGAATCATTAGCCCATCCTCGCTCAGGAACGCTCGAGTCCGCTGCATCACCCCATCCTGTCGCCGCTGCTGCGGCAGTAGTAGAGCCGGCACCTTCGGGTTCCGCAGAACCAGACTGCGGCTCCACGCCGCTGGCTTGTGCTTGCTGTTGCTGTTTCCCGGTATGTCTAGCAGATATGGAAGTTGCCGTCTTTCCACCCCAGCCATTGTGCCAATGTACGTTGGGGCCCGGCAGTGAAGGCGGAATGGAGGCGTTGCTGCTGCTGCTGCCGCCAGTACTGTTGTTGTTGTTGCTGCTGCTGCTACTGTTTGCGCCGGGTGCACGGCAGGACCAGCTGTTGGTGGTGCTGCTGCTGCTGCTATTGTCCTCAAATGCTGGACCCGAGTTCATGGCAGAGTCTGGAGGAGCTGTGGGTTATGGGAGGGGAGGGGGAGAGGGATGCGCTTTGGTCTAGAGCTCGGCTATTGGATTATTTAAGTAGAGCACAAGCTGTGTGTAGGCACACCCCTTGGTAGCAAGTGCAGCCGTGTTTACATGCAGGGGCGGAGCCAGGATTTCAGGCCGGGGTGACATTCAACAAATGTTAATTTCAAGAATGACTAGAGAGTCAGGCTGTTGAACTAGACGCCATCGGTTGGCGACACACTCTGACAATGCAGTTGCACGGAGTACGCCAGACCGAGTGTCGTACACTTATACGCAGAATGTCACCCCTGTCACCCCCCCTGGCTCCGCCCCTGTTTATATTCATAGTGTGTATCAGAAGTTGTCCATTGCCTTCCCCACCAGTGCAACGTAATGATGTGTTGCTTATATCAGAATATTTTATTACAAGGTGTGCTTACATCCAGCTTCCAGTTATCCATGACAATCATAAGTTACTCGATCAATCAGATTATACGAAAACAGCTCCTGGAGGAGGGGGGGGGGTCAAAAGCCTCACCCCCTCTATTCGTAAGTGTGCCGCTGGACCGGCGGTGAGGGGACGGGAACTTTTTATGGGGTTTCCCGCCTTCAGGAGGCAGGGGATGGGGGTGGCCGCCACTTCTCAAGGGGAACTCGTTATGGGCTGCTAAAAAAATTGGTCGATCATATATTTATTTTCGTTGTTGACTTAATCTTCCCCAGCTCGACTTTTGTTAAAGTTCTAATCGCTGGTTTCAATGGCGAGGTTAATAATGGCGTGACTAGTACAGTGGGGGGTGGGGGGGGGGGGGCCGGTTATGGTCATCAGAAGACGTTTTTATAGTTGGTGGATTACTGTTGTGGTTTTTTTGTTGCAGCAAGTGGAGAGGCTACCGACTTTATGGGCGAGCGTTAGTATTAGATAAAATATTACACAGCCAGTGTTAGGAATAGTCTCAGGGATAGAGGCAGTATTTGTATTTATATTAGTGTTAGTACTAGCGTGTGGCAGGGAGAGCATCGGTGTTATGGGTAGCGTTTAGAAACAGTGTCAGGGTCATGGCCAGTGCTGGTAATGAGACCAATGTCAGGGACAATGTGAGATAAATAACTTGGTGACTGACGCCGCATTGGTGCACGGTCACAAAAAGCTCAACACATTCGTTCATGGCACTGCGTTAAAAAGAAAAGTTACATGTTAGGCAACGTTTTGGGCATTGGCCGTTCTTCAGAGCACATGGAGCAACCGGGAAAGGTAGAGTCAGAGGGATAAGTGTTCGGCTTCATAACCTGGCTCGTGTTACCATCAATATTCACGAGGGTTAGTGTTATGGTTATGTTTACGGTTTGTGTTGGGGGTCATTCTGGGTGCTACGGGTAGGAATGTTGCTAAGGGTAGCGTTGCATGGGGTGACGAATATCTGAAACGGTCCCTGGGATTCCCGTTGGTCAACTGAAAACGAGTACCTGGCCGCGACGTCTAACCGCTGGGGAGAGAGAAAGACGGCCAGGCGAGCGCCTGCCCACACCGCCCCACCCTTCCTTGCATTCCGAGCCGGCCTTCGCAGCCGCTCGCTCACGGCGCTTGTCCCAATTCTGTTAAAGGCTACGTGGGGGATCTTAGCCGTCGTGTGTGTGTGTGTGTGCGCGTGTGTCAAGTCTGTTTTGAGGCCACGGGTTCGCACCTCCTGTGGCGCCGGAAGACGAGTCTTGGGTCGAAGCCTTCGGGGAGTTTGATGTCGGCCCACTGTGAGTACCAATGGTAGCCCCGGCCTGCAAGCCACAACATTATTAGCGTTAACTTTTTTTGACTTCACTAAGCTCATTTACCGAGGAAAGCCTCACTGAATCCCTCTAAACACTTTCTGGAGGCCTGTCCTGTTTTCGCATTAAGGGGGGGGGAGGGGACGGACAATGTTGCTCTCTGTAATTCCAATTAAGTAATTTTTTTGGTATATTTTTCAGCATTTCGATGTTTGGTCAGTATCAGTTACTTTACGTGTTTTGTTTTAGCTTTCGGAGGGGGGGGGGGGGTGGTAAACATACAAACTCACGGCGCTGCCATTATGAACTCATCATGAGATACCCTGACCCCCCCCCCCCCCCCCCCAAGGACTGAACCTGAGCCCGGGCACCTCAGTGGCACTGGCTCACCGTCTCCCGACACAGCCATTGGATGAACCCCTACCTGTCCAGATTTGGGCAGCTTCTTGGGCTCCTGTTGGCGGAATCGAGGAGGAACTTCTCTCAGCTGGAATCGAGCTGCGCACGCGGCAAGAGAAGGGCTAGATGCTGCAATCACGCCCTGCTGCTGCTGCTGCTGCTGTTGGTTCAGCTGCTGCTGCTGTTGGTTCTGCTGCGGCGGCTGCTGCTGCTGTTGTTGAGAGCAGTGTCGACCGACAGGCTTTGCTGCGTCTGATGAAAAGGGCAGGTTGAAGGGGGCACGGTGTGACGTAAAAAAAACTCACGTTTATAACGACAACCGATAAACCGATCAAAACTTTTATTATCGGCTGCGCAAGCCAGGAACTGGTCAACGTTTCCGTGGAAAGTCAAAGTCACGCGTGCACCCATTGGGCGCAGGTGAACGTACAAACTGCACGGTGGCCCTAAGTCACAGCTTGGTACGTTTGTCCTCATTTCCGTTCAAACATAACAGGTGCAACCTTGAAAGTCTCTCCCCGTGATCGCGTGGATTTTTCCCTCCACATTTGGAAACATGCGCTTAAGATTATTTGGTTGCTACAAATTTCCACGTGACAGGACACTTCGTTGGGCTATCATTTGTGGCCAGATCGCTACTGAAAGAGAGCAAGGTAGCTCAGTTGGCCTTACCTGGCGAAATAAAAAAAAAGTTTAATTTAGGACGCTGTCTTTTCGACAGCTCTGTTCTTCACCTGAGGACGGCTGCTTGTGTTGTGGCCGAAACGTCGTGGGAATTGTATTTTATTATGTTTAATTTGTATTATTTTATTATTTTCCCTTCCACGTGACTTTACCGAAAGAACCAAGAATATGAATCTCTGCAGCCACGAAAGCTTTAAATCGAAATTTACTTTAGCTTGCTTGCACAATTCAATACCGACAGCAGATCCTCCACGAGAAGGGAGCTCTCATGGGTATTTGGTCTACTCTTCCACGCTGACCAGAGGTCTTCGAAGAGCACGGGTGTACCACACACATGACCCTGCCGATCACAGATTAAACTGTGGTGCACGCAATATGCACTGCTGGGTGGAGAGTGGCTGGAAGATTAGAGAAACACTTGCACCATAACTTCAACCGCCGGGCTGTGTGTGAACCATTACAACACATACCTATGGGACCATTTTTTGACAGTATCCAAAATTATTAAAAATAAGAATAGGTTCTACCCTTTCTGGAAATCAAACAGGGGGTGTTAAGATGTTCAAACACCAAATACAGTTGAACCTCGGAGATCGAACGCCCCAGAACTGGAACAATTCGGTGATCCAACAAAATTTGACCATTTTTTTCCCCGGACATCGAACAAAAATTTGTAAAGGTCGAACAACTGGAAAGAACCCCAGACGGGCAGACTATCCAACGTTTTTATGGAGGGGGACTCCCCTTCCAAGCAACACTGACACCTCCTCCACCCCACCTTCCACTCAAGCCATCCACTCTCCGTACTACAGGTAAAGCCAAGTTCAACGTTAATTTATTCTAGTAATTATAACTGTGTTTCTTGTTTTTCGTATGCTTTTATGTACTGTACTGTATTTTAATATTGTAAACTTTGTGTAAAAATGGCTCATAATAGGAGCATCCTTGGGTGGGGAACCAATTAATGTTATTTCAATTCATTCTTATGGGGAAAATTGAATCGGTGTTCGAACACGGTTTTGGAACGAATTAAGTTCGCTCTCCGAGGTACCACTGTGGATAACCTTTTGCGAGGCATCAAAAGTATGGATGAACCACAAGTGGGAAATTATGCAAACAAAACATGTCTTTAATATCAATCCGTTTCAAAGACAATGCATATATCATCATAGCATGTCTGTTTGCATGTTTTTTTCCACAAGCATGTGCGATTAATGGAGACTTTATCCCCTGCAAAAGGTATCTATTTGGTGTCTGAACATCCTAACACCTCCTGTGTTATTGCTAAAAATGCAAAAAATATATATTTTTCAGCATCATAACACAGCAGATCCCTTCGGTTCGCAGTTAAGAAGGGTCACGTTGTGCTTATTGATCTAGACATTAATATGCGTGGCAAATCGGTAACCGGAATGTTAGTGGGGTTTTTTTTTCTTATTCGGCTACTGGAAGTACTAGAAGATAATTTTAACCCTGCATGGGATGGGTGTGTGGCGACTGTGTACTGTACAAACCATAGCAACGTTGAATTCCAAATGCTATTTTCAGCAGAGACAATTACTTTTTCACTCGTGGAATTAATTCAAAACCCCTAGGTCCCACTCGGCCGGAAAATAGTCGCAGTAACATCTTCTTACCTTTCGGCTTCACCTCGGACGCCTGTAAAGAAAGAACGTGAACACATATCAGTACAGGCATGAACGAAGATCACGTTCAAACTGACTTATCTAAACACACACTACACACGCAACGGACACAAGACTTTCAGATCTTGAGACTCGGCTCCTAGAGATCGGGTCTCAGGATCAGTGTCTTCAGACAAGGCTAAGAACACATTCTTACCCAGTGCCCCTACTGGACATCTGTGAAAAATAGCTTTACAGCTCATCGGATTAATTCAGTATAAATATTCTGCTTCTGACATTCATGTGAATGGACCAAAGGAGTACACACAACACAACGAGGAAAAAATAGAAACTAGACAATCAAACGGTAAGGTTTGTCGCGTAAACAAAACATGGCAATTTGTTATTAGTTCAGCAACACCAGGTGTGTTTGAGAGTAAACTCACAAAAATGTTCTCTTGGAGTACTCGAATTATAAATGTTGAGGGTTACTCTCCAACACACCGGTGTGCTGAACTAGTAACCTTACTAATTGGCTGTGTCGGGTGGTGGTGGGTTTAACGACACATTTATATTTGTGCGATCAAACAAAAACACCTCTATTAGTAATAATATTGGTCGCGAAAAGCTGCTACGTGTTAAACTAGACAAAACTTACGAGATTCTTTAATATAACCGTCACACAAAATCTTAACTGTTTTTTATCTTCAAGAGACCAGGGGAGGGGGTTGTGCTTTAGTTTGCTTGTACAGGGTGTCTCTCTCGCACCTTTTTCACGGAAGAGTCTCTCTTTTTCTTATCATCCCTCTTCTTGCGCTTCTCTTCCATCAATGTGTCGGCCTCCGAGGTCTTGTTTTGCACCTCCCTATCCCTGCCACACGACACACCACCTCAACTTAACCCTCGCCTGCCGGGGTGGGGGGAGGGCGCTCGGGCTATATTCTTAATACTCCCTTTTCCACTGGCATATCCGAGCCGAGCCAGCGCCCTCACGGTGATCGTCTACTGGTTGTTTACAAGTGCCGAGCCGGAACAAATCAATGTTATGCCGGCCTCGCCACGCCCAGCTATCTTGGACTCCCAATTGATGATTTTAAACACACCGCATCAGATACACAGCTACGGTTGACAACCTAGGAGAGGGCACAGAACCTGTGTTCAGATATTCGGCAACCAAAAGTTGGCTGCGGGCGAGAAGAAAACCCGACAGCACCACCCACAGACCACTGCGCCTAACGCTTTCCACACACACACACACACAAACTCATGCTCACGTTGCAATGTTTGTGTAATGCTGGGTGGTTTCAGTACAGTTTTAACTGGTCAACATTTTTTTTTTAAACCGGACTTCTGGAATTCGTGAAGTGAATACTTTCATTTTCGGGAAACGGTCATCAAGAGCAACCGATACTCTGTGGCAAATAATGTAACCGCATTGCAATGGCCATGTTCAACGTTGCGTGAAGAAACTATAAACGTGGCCTGGTGGCTCCGAGGATTAATAATGTCCATGTTAAGACACACTCAGCGCCAGCAGCACTAAAAAGGCACACACTGAACGTCCAATATCCGACCGTCAAATAAGCACCCTCACCAGTGAGCCCACAACCCAGTGGAGTATTTGTGCACGGTGGAACATTGTTTTCGATAGCCATTCACAAATGCGACCTTTTCACATGTAGTAATATATTCTTAATCTTGCGTAGGATTCTCTCTCTCTCCTCTATGTCCCAGCCTGCCCACATCCTTCATCTCCAAACTCCAGATGATCCATAATGCACAGCTATAACCAGACCCCCCGTTCACCATATCATCCCAATACTCCAATTCCTCCACTGGCTCCTAATCAAATCCAGCATCAATTTCTAGATCTCACTCATTGTCAAGATCCCCGACAGACAGTCCCTGATGACCTCTACCCCCATCCTACTTGTTCCCCTCCACGCACTCCCCTACCTTTCATTTCACTCTACTCCTCTGCACACACTCTCCTTACCTCTCCACTCTCATCTCACTCAACTCCCGTCCGTGCACTCTTCTCCCCTTCATTACTCTCCTACCTCTCATCTCACACTACCTTCTCTACACACTCTCCTACCACTCACGTCTCATCTCACTACTCTCCATGCACTCTGCTTCAATAAAAGTTTCATGTAGAAGCCCCAGGTTAACCTTCGCTTCGTGGCAGGTCACTCGTTCTCCTCTGCTGCCCCCACGGCCTGTAACTCACCCCAGCCATCAGTGCTCTCAATTCCCTACCCTGGTTTAAATCCAGGCTCAATAAAGGCCATTCTGTAGTCCTGCTGTCACTGCCCCTATAAAATTATTTACGGCCAGCGTTTCTGCACAGCGCATTTGCTATGCGGGCACGTTTGGATACTATGTAAACCCATGTTGTGTTGCGCTGTTATAAAACTCTTGATAAAGAGACGCACAGCCCCAGGGCTTGAACCCACGATCTCAGCGGTGTTATCGCTCGCACAGCCATTATGTATCCCAGACCATCTAATTCTACACAAAATTACCATTTGCATTACTTATAAAACCCAAGACGCAACATTCCCATCACTTAACCCCATTGACAAACCAGAGCCAACAGTGGAAATTCAACATTATCGCGACAGGGCCAATTTGCACAAAATATCTGAGTTGATGCTCATATTTAACGATTAACACGATTTGCTAAGTACGGTATGAAAGAAAGTTAAACATACAACACTATTGCTCAAGTGAAATAGTGCCGTCTTATATCGCACTGATGTTACATAAGCTATCAGTGTTTGGGATGCAACGGTTAGTGGATCATACAGAGCTCAGTTCCCAAACCCACTAGGCTACTGGAACAAAAAGACATTAGTTATATAGCAAGCGGATTCATAAACCCACCTGTACGGACTTTCTGGTGCTATAGTTTCCTCCGGCAACCAAACAAAACACTCGTAAAAAAATGTTTTAAGCGATTGCTCCAACTTCCCAATGTAGCAGAACCCTCCCAAACATGAGTCAGTGGGAGCTTTCCTGACATTATTACAGTGGGTCCCAAAATACCAGGCACGGGGTGACTTGGTATATCCATTATCGCAACCAAAACCCTGTTATTTCAACGAAGACCGGATTGTAATATTTATGTAGTTGTTTATATAATATTTTTTTTTATACAAAAATCAATATGAAACGTTAAAAGTAAGCCACTGAAAAGCAAAGGCTAATTCTGGATCGTACAATCCAAAGTAATATTAGCAGGCCTCCAAAACATAAAAGCCCCTTAAAATGCATATATAACCTTATAATATTTTTTTATTACTTAAAAATGAAATCAATATAAAGACCTTACTCTGTATGTCTCAAAAACCTCTATGGTACTTTCCGACAAGGTAGAAAGCTGAAATTTGCTACATAGGTAGCTTCAGGACAAAAACAACAGGACATCTGAAAATCAAAGATTTTTCATTTTAAGGCCCCCAACATTTCGATTTTTAAGTGCCCCATAAACATGTTTGTGCCGTGTCATTCAAAAACCACTCAAAAGATAACACTGCGGCCTCTTTCATTTGATAGAGCATTAAACAGCAGTTAAGATTAAAGCGAGAACCATCGTTATAGCTTTTATTGTTTTTGAGATATTTCGGATTCAAGCGGTTTTGAATGAAAAAAATACACATTTTATTACGTTCAAATCTGAATAATTCTAAAACGGTAAACGATTGGAGAGCTTCCCCCCAGAGTATTACATTCATAAATTTCAGTTTTTTTCTAATAAAAAAGAACAATCTTTAAATTGAGCAGTTTCAAGTCATCAACAATTTTAGTTTTTTTGCAGAAAAACACAAATTATTGGAGTAGTTGTTAATGTCTGATCGTAGATACAAATTGTAACAAATCATATCAAGTGAATTACTACATTTGTTGAAAACTTTTGCCTTGCGAAGACAGGCCTTTCATTAACTATTACGTAGTAAATTCGGTCCATCAGCCCATGAACATTCTGAAACAAATCTTTTCGGAGACAGAAAATTCTGGATAAGTTTCACCTTTCTCAGTCTCATCGGCAGGGCTTGCAGGATGTTAAAACAGATGCCCGCCGGGTTGCTTCGTGTTCCAGTCAAGAGATCGTCTAGTGCTTTTTTTAAATCGGAGTGCCATTTCGCCTCAATTAAAACTTCATTGCTGCATTAAGTGGCATTACAAACATTAATATTAATGACGACACAAACATGCGGTAAGATTAGTTACATTAGAACGCTCAAATCTGAAACTAGGCATGCACACGTACTAGGCCCTGTTCGTCAATCCACTACTGGATGCCGGCCTCCCCCACTCCAAACATCTAGCGGTGGGGTCGTTTTGCCAGACTAGTCAGCACAGGTTTAAGGCGGGGAACCATAGACTTTGGAGCATAGTACTGTACAACTACGGATGTCGTGGCACTGCCCTCTGCTGACAAATGTATTATTTATTTGAATAGAAATGTTTTACCTTTACGGAAATTAATCACACTATTTGCAAGAGACTAAATACGTACTGCTATATGAAGTAGCATGTTATGGAGTGGTCAATCTGCCGTTGATTGACGACACCATCCACGACGAATAGAATTTGATTAAAAAAATATGCACATTAAAATAAACTTCTATTCCGCTAGATTAGGGTTAACCTATACAAAGTGAAAACCGTTAAAGGTATCACGTTAAAAATTGCCTTTAATCAAATGTAATTAACCTATGTTTATACTCGCATGTCAATTAATAATTTAAAACACGCAAAGCTCTTTAGCAAACGACCGCTAGGGGAGGGCCGGGCTCCCCCCCCCTCAATCTCTGTATTGACCGTGGGATTAACTATGACCATATCTTACCACGTTAAAACTATTTTGATGTTTAAACTAGGTTTTACTCGCCCAGGTTAAGGGCCACTTGAGCTACGTAGCTATTTTTCGGACGGGACGTAGGCCACAAACGATAGCGCAACAAAGTGGGCTTATCGTCATCGCGGTGGAAATTTATCGCAGCAAAAAATGTACTCCTCGTTAAAAAAAAAAACACGCACGTTTCTGAATGTGGCGGGGGGAAATAACCCGCAGGACCCCCCGGAGGAAAAAAAAATCCACGCAATCGCGGGGGTGAGAAACGACATGCAATCTCCGAATATTCAGCATGCGTCGGTCGAAACCACGCTCTCTTGCAGACGAGTCAAGGGCGAACGGGATCCAGGACCGATTCGCATATTTTACTCTTTGCAGATGCTGGCCGTGAGAGCGATAAATCGACTTCGGGTCACCGCCTTCGTATCGCGGTTATCTCACGACTTGGCCCCCTTTACCGCTACACCCCCAACGTAGACGCTAAACATTACCGAATCTAAACCTCGACGCAAAACCACATTAACATTAAACGTAAAACATTATTTGCCGTAGTTATTGTTAAGACGGTGTATAACGCATTACAATTGTGTACCTTTTAACCCGGTAACATACCTTGTAATAAGCATAATTTCCTTGCATTATCATCAACCATGGCAAATCCACGGCTGAAGGCCTCGCCAATGCGGCAATAACAATCCACCTAAAACCCCTGCACATGAACCGATTTTATTTGCTCCATCTCCCCGGTGTATGTCGTCTGGTAAGGCGTTCCATTCCCCAAATTAAACATTCCTTTTGAAATCATAAGCGTGCTTATATTACCACTTACGACATTTAAAGTAAAAACCCGAAATCGCCAAATGCAATAAATGCGTAAAAATAAAACGGCTAGGCAGTAGCTTTTTTTTCCGCACAGCAGTATTCTTTGTTAGTCGATCGAGACCTCGTCATGCGAACGTGGAATTGTCGAGCGCCGCAATAATCGGCGAGGGGCTCTCTCAAACTCCCTATCTAGCGGAGACCCCCCCCCCCCCCCCCTTTGCGCGGGTTTTTCGTTTTTACAACCTTTGCCGATATAAATCTGGCGACTCAAAGTGGGCATTTATTTAACGAACGCGATCGCCTGCTAGACTCACAAAGTGGTGGTGGTGTGAGACAATTAAACTGGTTTGGGGGGGGTGTGAGAGAGCTCTTGCAGGGCTGCGCCTTTACCGGGGCCCCTCCGATTTGTGTGGGGTACCCCCCCTCCTCCCACCTCCTCCTCCACGTTTAGAAACACGCGTTTAGGCTATTTAGATTATTTTGTTGCTTTAAAATGGCCCAATGACGGACCACTTTGCAGAGCCATCATTTGTGTCCAGGTAGATTTTGTAACAAACAAAAAATAAGTTAATACCTCAGTGGGCTTTTTGTCCGGTTAAAGTGATTTTATTTACCTTTATTTACCGTGCACTCCCAAAGTGTTGTTTTTGTGTTTGTTGTTTTAACGTTCTACTGGACATCTGTGACAAAAAATAGCTATACAGCTCATCAGATTCCTCCGATAAACAAAAACATATTAAATTCATATTAGGATTCCTTTTATCTAACACCGCCGATCAGAACCCAATAAAAACACGGGAGATCAGAAAAAAAACCACACACACTCACACCCCTCCATTCAAAAAAGCAATGGAACAACCGCGCAACGCCACCACCACCACCCACTCGCGTAGCTTGCAAAAAAAAAAAACCTCTCCTCGCGCAAAACAAAAAAAACGCATTTTCAATCCTCAAACTTTCTCGTAAAAACGAACAAACGTGCGCGTGGTAAGTCACAAAAAAACAAACAGCTCCCCCCCCCCACTAACCGATGTACAACAAAGTCGAAGCCTTTAAGTGTGCGCAACAAGATCTCTTCCCACCCACCCCACCACACACACGCGCGCGCGCGCACTTCCTTCCCCTCCCCCAAAGACCGCGCGCGCGAGCGAGAGAGAGAGACCGCTCCACCACCACCACCATTAACAAACATCGGGGAAGGTGAGGCGATGGTGGGTTGCGAAGGGTTTACCTCATGGGAATAAGGTGCCGCGGTGTCTCCGCCTGCCTCCCGCTACTGCTGCTGCTGCTGCTGTCGGCGGCGCTGCAAAACGCCTCGGGCGTTCGTCGGCGACGTGGTTTGCTGCTGAAGTCGAGGCGAGGAGATCACTGGAGGCGAGATCCGAAATCATCGCGCCAGCTCTGCGTCTCCATCTTGGCTTCAACTGCCTTCTGCTGTGTGGTGAGAGGGGGGGGGTGGCGGGCGGGCGGACGTGACGTCGGGGGGACGCGGGACCCGCAATTGTTGTTTTTTTTTAAACAAAATATACAAATGAGTATTAGATTTAGGAGAATTTATTCATCACCGTGCGCCCGTAGAGTAATTTTCTTTAATGCAAGCGAGTGTTTATTTTTTTTTAAGTAGAGGTGGTGCGATGACGCCATTTCCGTTTTAACGATTCGATTGTCTTTGCTGGGGACGGATGTGGCGTCACGTCTAAATATCTCGAAAATGTTAAATAATTATTATTTACCATTTTCGAGATATTATTTAACATTTTCGAGATATTTAGACGCGGTTGCGTTGCTTTTAAGTCTAAAATATCAATGGTAAACAGAATATTCGTTATAAATATTAGTTAAAAGCGATGGGAGTAAGGTCATTTCCGTTACGTTTTTAACAATTTCAAATATCTCTGGTGAGGACGGATGTGACGTCACGGACGTGTATGGGGGCTTTTAGTCATTTTGTTAAATAATTTATTAAATGATTACATTCTCAATATTTTCAGAATCGGCCGAGTTACTTTAAAATAGCAAATATAAATGTTAAAGATCAAAAAATGCTAAATATAATTTGGAAGCGATGTGATTATAGGGTCACTTCCGTAACGTCTTAACGATTATATTTATCTCTGGCGGGAACGGATGTGACGTCACAGTCATGGGGGGGGGGGGTGGTGGGTTGGTGGCTTTTATTTATTTCGTTAAAACAAATAAAAAAATTTGACGCGGCCGCGTTGCTTTTAAGTTACAAAAAAACTATTTATATTACAAACGTTGAAGAGACGTTCCTTGTAAATACAATTTAGAAGCGACTGTGGTGATTCGGCCTTTCGAGACTGGTCGGGGCGCACGTAAGGGTCGCGGTCGCGGAGCTGAAACTTTAAAAACATTTTAAAAGTTAACGCTCTGGACGAGGCCCACCAAACACACAGCACCCCAGCTCGAAAGCTCAGAGAAACGAAGAAGAAGAAGAACACCGCAGTGACATCACCACGGCGCCTGTGCCAGGCTAGGTGCACTTTGAGGCCACGTGAAGTGTCGAAGGCTCATCACTGACAGGAGGAGGTCACGGGACAGACCCAGCAGGTGCCATGGGTCGGCTGATTGAGATGACCACTGGTAGATGCACCACCAGCAGTACCCCCTACTGTGCCAGGCTAGGTGCAGGAGGTCACGGCACAGACCCAGCAGGTGCCATGGGTCGGCTGACTGAGATGACCACTGGTAGATGCACCACCAGCTGTACCCTCCTACTGTGCCAGGCTAGGTGCAGGAGGAGGTCACGGGACAGACCCTGCAGGTGCCATGGGTTGGCTGACTGAGATGACCGGCAGATGCACCACCAGCTGTACCCCCTACTGTGCCAGGCTAGGTGCAGGAGGTCACGGCACAGACCCTGCAGGTGCGATGGGTTGGCTGATTGAGATGACCGACAGATGCACCACCAGCAGTACCCCCTACTGTGCCAGGCTAGGTGCAGGAGGTCACGGCACAGACCCAGCAGGTGCCAAGGGTTGGCTGATTGAGATGACTGGCAGATGCACCACCAGCAGTACCCCACTACTGTGCCAGGCTAGGTGCAGGAGGTCATGGGACAGACCCTGCAGGTGCTATGGGTTGGCTGATTGAGATGACCGGCAGATGCACCACCAGCTGTACCCCCCTACTGTGCCAGGCTAGGTGCAGGAGGTCACGGGACAGACCCTGCAGGTGCCATGGGTTGGCTGATTGAGATGACCGGCAGATGCACCACCAGCTGTACCCCCCTCCTGTGCCAGGCTAGGTGCAGGAGGTCACGGCACAGACCCTGCAGGTGCCATGGATTGGCTGATTGAGATGACCGGCAGATGCACCACCAGCTGTACCCCCCTCCTGTGCCAGGCTAGGTGCAGGAGGTCACGGGACAGACCCAGCAGGTGCCATGGGTTGGCTGACTGAGATGACCGGCAGATGAACCACCAGCAGTACCCCCTACTGTGCCAGGCTAGGTGCAGGAGGAGGTCACGGAACAGACCCAGCAGGTGCCATGGGTTGGCTGACTGAGATGACCACTGGTAGATGCACCACCAGCTGTACCCCCCTACTGTGCCAGGCTAGGTGCAGGAGGTGGTCACGGGACAGACCCTGGAGGTGCCGTGGGTTGGCTGACTGAGATGAACACTGGTAGATGCACCACAGCTACCGCTCCCACATTGCCAACTTGCTGCATTTTAACCGCTCGGCATTCCGCTCGTTGTTGTGAGCGTCGCTCCTCTGCCCACAGTTGTTGTTAGAGGGCGACTGCCTCCAACTTACCACAACAACAACCGCCATTCGCCACCAAGTGGCGGTGACGTCACCACGATGCTTGTGCCAGGCTATGTGCACCTTGAGGCCACGTGAAGTGTCGAACGCCCGCTGGCAGGAGGTCACGGGGCAGACCCAGGTGCCATGGGTCGACTGACTGAGATGACTGGCTGATGCACCACCTGTGCCCCCTACTGTGCCAACCTGCTGTGCTTTAGCCACCCGGCGCTCCGCTCGTTGTTGTGAGCGTCGCTCCTCCGCCCTCCGTTGTTTTTGGAGGGCGACTGCCTCCAACTGCCCAGTAGCGTCCTTCACGAGCCTCCTCCACAGAGGCCGATCTTGACACCGCTGGTACCGGTCATCGGCAAGTCCACTCAGCTCCACGTCCTCCTGGACCACGTCACTCCATCTCTTCTCTAGCCCGTGCCGCGCCCGTTTAGCCCCCTCGATCCGGCCGAACAAAAGCTGTTTCGGCATGCGGTGGCTGGGCATGCGGGCTACATGACCCAGCCAATGCAGCCTTGCCCGCCGGAGGGGCCCACCGGTGGGACTTTGCCCAGATCTTTTAAGGATTTGTGAGCTCCTCACACAATACAGTCTGCAGGTTAAACCCAGGATGGATCGTAGGCAAGCCAACCTAAATGTTTCTAACCAGCGAAGATGTTCCAAACACTCACTCCCAGCACTCGGCTGACTCTTGTACATCTCGGGAAGGATCGCTCGGCTGAACAATATAGTGCCTCGGTTCAATTTGCAAGTGAAGGTTCACATTTTAAGTCGATGTAAAAAAAAAAATACAAACCATAGAAGTGGGTTTGAAAGTGCGGGGTATTCGTAAGCCGGGTGTTCGTAAGCCGAGGACTGCCTGTACACACAGACACGGGGTCTGTTCTTAAACCTTAGATCAGTCTTAATTACCGGAGCCCAGAACGGGAATGACCTCGCCAATCCCCTCCACCCCCCAAAGAAAATCCCCCCCCCCCCCGCCGCCTGCTCCAATGAGTCTAATACCGTCGATGCCCCATGTAATGCCGCCAAGAACGTCACGGATTGTTAAATATGTACGCTCTGAGCAAGGATGTAGAATAAAAAGGTTTTTTTTTTAAATCACTATCTAAAATAATTTAGACATCAATCTTGATATTATTCATAATAAAGGTTTTTTGGGTTAGATCGCGTTTATTTATAAATGTGTCGTAACCCTCCACCACCCGACACGGCCAATCAGCAAAAAAAGTGTCACGTTGACAAAAGACAAATAATTCACTACTTCATTTTTTTTGTCTTTTGTCAACGTGACACTTTTTTTGCTGATTGGCCGTGTCGGGTGGTGGAGGGTTACGACACATTTATAAATAAACGCGATCTAACCCAAAAAACCTTTATTATGAATAATATTGGTCGCGAAAGCCTACGTGTTAAACTAATCTTGATATTCCTGGTTATTTCGGTAAAGTCACGTAGAAGGGAAACAATATAAAATAATAAAAATATAAAATATTCCCTTCTACGTGGTGCTGACTTTACCGAAATAACCAAGAATATGAATCCCTGCAGTCACGAAAGCTTTAAATCAAAATCAATCTCGATTTGAAGCTTTCGTGACTGCAGGCATACCATACTCTTTGTGTTCTTTTCGGTAAAGTCACGCAGGTAGAAAAATAAAATAAATCACGACGCCTCAGCAGCAGGACCACGCTTTCCCACCTGATGATGGACGCTTGTGTAGCGCCCGGAACGTCGTGATTTATTTTATTTTGCACCTACGTGACTTTACCGAAAAGAACACAAAGAGTAATTTAAACATCATTTGCTCTTCATCTTTGACGCGATAGAGCAGTTGTTATAATGTGAGCAGAAATTGTCAAACATCTAGCAGAATAATTTTTTTGTTATTCCGGAGGAATCCGATGAGCTGTAAAGCTCTTTTTTTCACAGCTGTCCAGTAAGGGGCGGGTCAGAACGCTACGACAACAAACAGTACACAAAAAATATGATAGTCGTGCAATGTACAATAAAGCTAAACAAAGCATCCAAACACATACAAATAAAACGAAACCATCCCATCCTACCATGCAAAGCCCACTTGAGGTAGTAACTTATTTTTTTTATTTATTATTACACGCTTTTATTTAACTCACTATGACTGTTGTGGTATCCTTAAAAAAATCTTCTAACTCAATTTTGATCCACTTCCCAATGTGCTATCGACTGCAAACTTGGTTATACTTATGTCATGCTGATGACAATACTATATCTCCAAAGATATAAAAGGCAAAGTTGTGATTGTGTGTCTGTTCAAAATGTTTAGCGTACTTCCCGACATGCAACAAACTTTAAATTTGCCATGTGGGTACTTTCCAGACTGTACACCATGCAAATATTATAAAAAATACACTTTTGCTTTTTTTGGGGGGGGGGAGGGAGCTCAATAATGCATTTATTTTTTGCACGGCAAGTGAGCTGTGACGTCAAATCTGTCACGTGACCCGCGCATGTGGAAGCGTAACGCATTGTAGTGTAGTGGTTAGCGTGCTGCTCGCGGTGCCGGACGGGCAACTCTGTCGTGGACAGTGCTGTGGGGGGAGATCCAATTTTGATTGGCTCCTCCCCTCATGGCATATGTGTCCACCACAGGG